TGCCAGGCGGTTCGCTTCGCCTTGGTGTACTGTGATACTGTTTTCCTTTTCCTTTTCTCTTTTGATTCTGTTTGATCTGTTGGAACCTATCAGGCCTCAGGCAAGTTTTGTGACAGGGAGCAGAGTTCCGTATCTGCCTAGGTTGAACAGCATATGCACATGTGACTGCGCACAGGGGAATCAAGGACAGTCTGTCTTAGTGAAGAAAAAAAACAATAGTCTGTCTTCTTGTAGGTGTTGCCCACATGGGACTCCAAAATTGGCAGCACAAATGCTAGGTGCCCAAGAAAAATGATTCGGTGGCTTGCAAAATGTTGAGGACTTATTTGTTAGCGCATTGCTGAAACATTTCTAGATAGCGTGTGAAAGGGAAATTCGTTATGTTGTCCAATTGAACCATTCAACATCACTGCTGCCATGTCTAGGTTAGATTGCTCTTTCTCTGCAGCTGCAGAGTACATTCACTCCTATGTGTGATCAGAACAAGCTAGTCTACGTAGCAAGCAGTAGTGGACAAGAGTTGGCATTGTGGGAGACTTGTGTGCAACAAAAATAACAAAAAAATTGGAAAAAGTAGAAAAAATAGAAAGAAAACAAATAAACCATACTTGTGGTGCGTCAGTGCCGTGCGGTGAACAGATTTATGACGCGATGCATGCACACCATACAGATATGTGCAGGGTGTTGTGTGGTGCATTACTACCCTACGCTAATCTGCCACATGTTTTGAGAACTCTATGGAACCTCGTCATGAATGTATCGGACCTGGAAGGTCGCCCGTATGCATTAGACGACACCTCGTTGTCGTCTACATTCACTGGTTATTAGGGAGTGCAATGTTCCCCCATAAGAAAGAGAATGGACTGTCAGAAATTGCCATGAAATCCATCGTCAGAGAGGGAAGTTTGTCAGAAAATGGCATGAAATCGACTGTGGCCGTTTTCAGAAAGGAGGGGCAACAGCCCTTTCACGATCTCGGAACTTCCAGATTGGGGAGAAATCTCGTGTTTGGCACAACTTTCGGTCCAGATGCAGCGATAATGACCGGGGCATTCTATTCGGGTGAAGACGGTAGGGGTCTATCATGAATCTCGGACCTTCAAGATTTGTCTCATTAGTTTACAAAAAAAAAAAGAAAAAAAAACTCTCGTTGTTATTAACTTATTAGTGACAACAAAACGATTCTCCTGTCAGAAATGCACAGGATGCTGCACCATTATAGTGAATGACGCCATGTGAAATATTAACTTGTAGTCTTGTACACATTCGGGAGATGGTCCAAAATACCAACACGCACAATATTGTTTTGGCCCGCTGGTGCGCCCTGGAATTTTTTTTTCCTTGTGTTGTCATATTTTTATGACAGGAGGGGCAAGGCTTGCCACCTCACCGTGCTCCTTTGGACGACCCCTCTTTTTTGGGGGTGTGTCGGACGGCGTGCATGGGCATGGTGCTCATGCGCGAGTGGCGATTATGAGCTGTGCTGGAAGTATGAAATAAACCATTTGTCCTCTCCTCCAGGGGACAACAAAAAAACAAACCTTGTCCAACTCTCATATGCAGAAAAGAAATAGAAAAGAAGTTAAACCTTTCTTAAAAAAAGAAAAGGAAAGAAGTTAAACCACCACTAACTCTGAGCCTCTTTTCCCGTGGCGGATTTGCACTCCGTCCCGAGTTCAAAACAAATCGGTGCCCATTTTTTTCGTTTCTGGCTGGCTYCGTCAGCCAATGAAACCACCAAAGAATGTGGTGGTAGACAAATTCATCGCAAAAGTTTGCTCATGAAAGGTAATGGTTTAGCTAAACAATGGTTGCTTTCTTGAACCACCATCACTTATAAGACTGTTTCCCAAGGTGTATGTGTGCTGTATGCCGCCTGGCTAAGAGGTCTCCGAAGCTGAACCCCTGAAGAATGCGGGGATAATGTTTCCCTAGGGTGGATGTGTGCTGTATGCCGCCAGGCAAAGAGGTCCGCGAGGCTGAACCCCTGAAGAATGCGGTGGTAAACTAGGCTACCAGCCGGGCTGCCTGGATCACCCTGTTTTCCGGAACGGCCCAGCCGTGCAAGGACCAGGGAAGGTCCGAGGAAAAAAAAAGAAAAAAAGAAGAAAGAAACTATGTTATGCAGAAAAATAAACTGAACAACTTTTGCCTCAGGGTCACATCAAATTCTTTACAAAATTAAAAATAATATATATATCGTCACATATGACGATATTTATATATCGCCATATATATATTGGCCTGGCCGGGCAAATATCGTCACATATGACTATATATATATCGTCATATATATCTTGGCCTGGCCGGGCAAGTGGTCCCAGGCCACTCTGGTAGCCGAGGTGGTAAACCAATTTGTTCACCTCTGTTGCATAGGGAACCTAGTGGCAATTTAATGGAACATCAGGAGAACACACAAGGAAAGGAGAGCAATAAAAAGACTCCTAAAGTGTGCTGTTCATTTCATTGATTTTTTTTCTCTTTATTGTTGTTTTTGCTCCTGTAAGCTATACTCACAATACAACCGGATTGGGATTCAATTTTCTTTTTAGTTAAGGCTACAGACTGGACTGATTTTCATGTTCAACACACTTAACTGAAACATTTGTACGGTTGCTTGGTCATCTTTCCATGGTTGTTAACTATCCATGTCTGAAATTGTGATGCTACGATCCTGGCCAATTTCAAAGTACAAATTCACGAGAAAGCACAATGCCGTCCAATTGCAACAAGAAATGAAAGAACTTGAGAGGAGAGAGAGGGAAAGAAGAAGAAGAAGAAGAAGAAGAAGATGCACACCAGCAAAGACCAATGATAATCCCCCTTCCCCTTGCCAACCAAACTCCTTTTCTCCTCCCCTCTTATTCAAACAATAAATAATAATAATGATGATGAATGGCAGAACCAGAATCAATGTCCAAATCCCTCTTCTACTGCCAGTTCAACTTGA